GGGTAAACATGACCATTGGGATAAAACGAGCAGGCTGTACTCCGTACAGAGTACAATTATTCATGCTTATAGAACGAGTCCTAACCGAGAACTGGCTTTATAAACTGATGCACTGAGATACAATATTCGAACTTATCTGTTTCTTCCTTGGTTTATTCCAGGGAAATTGGGTAAGCAGAAGGGACATCAATGTTCAGGTTGAGAAGGCCTACAGGTCAACCGTTCGCCATTATTGTCTGCTGCCGCACCGCTTCTCGAATGCAGTCAGCTAAAAGTAGTATACCGAGACAGGAATACAGCCGCAGAATTATAGGAATTCAAGCGAGTGTCTTTGACTCCATTGTAGTCCGCGCGCACCACAATAAGCCGTCGGAGAATATCAAGCCTTGTGCCTGATGCAGATCTTTGACAATCACAAGCCCTCGACGCCGCCCATTCTTTGTGTTATTGCAGTACTCCGTACATACACGAGAGATGTGCGTTATGTCCATGTAACAGCGCTCGTGGTGCAACCGTTAGTAGTTGGAACAATGTAGCGTGTAGGAAGGAGCAGGATAACATATAGCATTAGCCGGCGCGACTCTTAGTTATCGGCAAATGAAATCACGTCAGCTTTAGGGCACTTGATCCTCGTCCCCCGGTGCCATCATCCTCGTCGACGCCTCTCGGTGCTCATCTCTTTGCTGCTCTTTGGGGTTTGAAGTTGCTTTTTGGACGTCAAAACAAAGACGATGGCTTACATAACGGCACAAATCATGTGATATTAGTCAGCTAATGAGCTAGGGCTGCTTATGTGATCACAGTAATAACGTGACGCTTAGTCATGGCCCACACAGAAAGTTCGCTACACCAAAAAAAAATATCCACCGGATTCAAATTTGAAGACAGCGAGAGAAAGTCGAACTTCTGCTTCACGCAACCGACCACATCGACCACCGCGCGCCCTTTTTTCTCTCCCTCCCGGCCATCTTGACAGCGAGAGAACTTTGGTCAAGATGAAGCTCAACGTTTCCTACCCGGCCAATGGGTCGCAGAAGTTGATCGAAATTGATGATGACCGCAAGCTGAGACCTTTCATGGAGAAGCGAATGGGAACTGAAGTAAGGAACAACAACCCGTGAATACTAGAGAAGAGGGGGGATGGAACACGCCTATCTGTCACCGGTGCTGCCTTCGTTTTGGCGCTGTATTTGATATGGATGGAATGGCCATTGTCGTCTCGATGTTATTCCTGAATGGTCGGCAAATGCAGAGGAACTTCCTTGCTGATTCAAGGCTATCTAGGTTGCCGGCGACTCCCTCGGCGATGAATTCAAGGGATATGTTTTCAGAATCACTGGTGGTAACGATAAGCAAGGTACGTTCTGCCATTTTTTTCTTTTCGGCGCGTTATGAGTAGATTTCCATTTCAGCATGCTAACAGTCGCGTGATTATAGGTTTCCCCATGAAGCAGGGTGGTATGTACGCCGTCAATCGAAGCATATATTCAATTCATACGATGGTTGTCTGACAGTAGTTCTCAACAGTCCTCCTGCCAAACCGTACCAGACTCCTCCTTTCTGATGGCCACAGCTGCTACCGCCCCCGCCGAACAGGAGAGCGCAAGAGAAAGAGTGTCCGTGGAGGTAATTATATCCAACTGTTTGTAAATGTGAGCTGAAGGATTCAGTCTCTAACTTTTCCCTTCAGCCATCACCGGTCTCGACCTCTCCGTCCTTGCTCTCAGCATTGTCAAGCAGGGTGAGGGTGAGCTCCCCGGTTTGACCGACGTTGTCAACCCCAAGCGCCTCGGCCCCAAGCGTGCCACCAAGATCCGCTCCTTCTTCGGTCTCGATAAGAAGGATGACGTTAGAAAATTCGTTATCCGCCGTACCGTCACCCCTAAGGGCGAAGGAAAGAAGGAGTACACCAAGGCTCCTAAGATTCAGCGTCTCGTCACCCCCCAGAGACTACAGCGAAAGCGTCACAGAATGGCCCTCAAGCGCCGTCGCTCTGAGGCTTCCAAGGAAGCTGCGTATGTTTGACTCATACCCTTTCCTCACCCTTTAAATAACACATATACCTCAACATTTTGAGTCTTTGATCATTGCTAATTTTATCTCTGCAGCAACGAATATGCCAAGATGTTGGCTAGCCGTGTCCATGAAGAGAAGGCTAAGCGTGATGAGCTCCGAAAGCGACGAGCTTCGTCGATGCGCAAGTAAGGTCGTCGTTTAGGGTGAAGGGGTTGGAGAGCGTGAGGCTTGAGTCAATATGGGCACTGCACGATACCATGTCAAATCCAGGGGAAAAAAAGTCAAACCCAGCCATGTTTTCTTCCCAGCCGTCTCGATGATGAAGTAATGAAAAGAATACTACGACAATGAAAAGGTATATTCTTTTATTCTCTGCGGACGAGCGGAGGGAGAAATCGTGTGACTTATTACTGTGATAATCTTTCTCATTTGTTTTGTTCCTTTATAACGGGAGGGGAGTCAAATAGGGAAAATTATACATGGGTTTGCGACATAATCGAGAACCAATAAAAATTAACCATCCTTCCGTTCTTCGTGTAATAAATCTACGAGCGCTTGTCTTGCTAAGTTTTGACACTTTGGTAGTTATGTAGAGTGAAGTTCTATCAAAATATTCAATCTTATATAGTGTATGAAATGTTTAGATGTGGTCATCAGTTGTGGTTATCACCTTGTGCTGTTGGAAGAGAATGTACTGCAACTTGCTTACAACACTCCATGGCTTCATTAATCCAGCAGACCATCAGAGTATCTCTATATTAGATGGCGACGAATATTCAGAATCAGAGAAAATAGTATGAAAAAGGAGATAAGTAAACCGGAAATTTTCATGCAACCGTTGGATCATTAGGAGACAGCATGAGAGAACAAAAAGCTGACGGATTCGCCGTTGTGGGTTCTCCTGCAAGCTTCAGCCAATACAGGGCTGATATCGATAGTCTCAATTTTCGAGCATTGTTCCTTCTTTTCGTTGAGGGGAACAGTGTTGGTAACCACAATTCGACTTAGGCAGCCGTTGTTCAGGGTCTCAATAGCCTTTCCACTTAGTATACCGTGAGTAACAATGGCAACAACTTCCTTAGCTCCGTGGCCCATCAAAGTATCAGCGGCCTTGACTAAAGTTCCACAGGTATCGGCCATATCGTCAACAATGATGGCAGTTTTGCCTTCAACGCTTCCAACGAGGACCATACGGGAGACCTCGTTTGGTCTTGCACGTTCTTTGTGGATTAAGGCAAATTGAAGATCAAGTCGATCGGCGATGGCAGTGGCTCTCTTTGCACCACCAGCATCAGGACTGACGATGACACAGTTCGTGATATCCAGATTCTGGCGGATCCACCTAAGCATGCTCGGTTCGGCGTAGAGGTTATCTACGGGAACATTGAAAAAACCTTGGATCTGACTGGCGTGGAGGTCCATAGTGATGACATGGTTACAACCAGCGGTTTGCAGCATGTTGGCCATCAATTTTGCGGTAATTGGTGCACGGCTTTTATCCTTCTTATCCTGTCGAGCATACGGAAAATTGGGAATGACAGCTGTGATGCGTCGAGCCGAAGCGGTCTTGCAGGCATTAATCATGATAAGAAGCTCCATCAAGCCATCGTTGATGTCATTGGGCTTTGTAGACTGAAGAATGAAGACTTCATAGAAGATAATTGTTAGCACTACCTTTCATGGAACGCAATTTGTAAACAATCAAAACGAATGACTCCAGCAATTTGATTCACAAAATTTCTCGTATTATGCAAAATAAGAAAAGTAAGTCCGGCAGGTCAAGGGGGGAAAAATATTACCATCTTCATCTCGAACACTTTCGCCTATGGTCACACTGGTCTCTTGATTAGAGTATTGCAAGACCATGATCTTTGTCAACTCGATTCCTAGCCTATAATCATGATATTAGCAACCACATCTACACAGCTGCAGCACACGGCAAACTACAAATCTGGTTTATCATCTCCCCTCTCCTATAAACTTCTAGGAAACAAGCACAGGTCCAGGAGTCCAAATAGAAGTATCGTACCTGTCTGCAACAAGCTGTGCCAGCTCCGGATGGCTATTGCCAGTCAAGAGCTTTATAGAATTGCTCGCCATCGTCAGAGGTATTGTGAATAGTAGTGTGAGGGATCGAAACAGATCACAGCGTGGCGGCTGAGTGTACAAATAGTTGGTGGAGATTCTGACAGGGAGCTAGCGCATTATCGGTGGAAGTCAAGCTGTAGAGTATGAAGGGACCCAGGTGGCCGTCTGTCTGTTGTTTGGCTCTCGTATCAACGCACAAAGCACATCATAGCATGTTTGTTTTCTCACCCGCCGCGTCTGCTTCTCATCAAACCCGAAACTTCGACGTTTGCTGAAGTCTTTTTCGATTTTTTATCTTTGCCAAAAAGCTCCGATACGCTAGTCCTAAATAGGAAAGTGGCAGATCGCTTATCGATATAAAAAGAGTCACGTGGAACTGACTTATGTAAACTTGACGACCAATGACTCGTCATGGACGATGACGGATAACATCAAACACAAGAACGAGCTCCAGACACGAGAAGAATTCAGGTAAGAAATGTATTTTTTAGTGGGAACCTAAGAGATGAGCTGATCTGCACTTCAGCTACTCAGAGAGCCCAGTATTATCAAACCTATCTAATGGGGAAAGGGAATGTAGGGGCACAATAAAACACAGTTGGCGGAAAATCAGGGGCAAAGGGGACGACAGAAAACCGCCAGAGGAGAGCCGGTCGGCCTTCGTTTGAGAGAAAGCATTGTCAAAACATTCTGAAATATACATGGGAATCTTAGGGGAAATGAAACCCTGAGCCAGAGCACGCCGTCCTGATGCCTAATGCTAGAGTTCACATGCGATGTATCAAGGGCAGTCAAGCTATGGGAAGTGGAAGGGTATGGTATGGGAAACAGAGTCATGAAGAGCTGATAAACAATAGATTGGGATGAGGAGGGTATGGGTTTAGCCACTGAATCTCTTAAGCGAACCCGAAGTATTCACTGCCAGCAGTCATAGCTGTGTATAGGCATTTGCGTAACGACTCATAGCTGTCATACTCGGGTAGATCGAGCTCTGCAAAATGATGAGTTAGCACGTTAAACAGCAGTAATATGTACTGAAAATGATAACTTACGGTTAAAACAGGTGTGTGAGCTTGGAAGTCTGTCTTTGCTACCGTAGTCACGATGGATATTGAATTTGCTGAATCCATTCATTCCCTCAAGCTCTCTAAATCCGTTCAAGGGTACCTTGCTTGTACCAGTGACAAACTGAAGAAGTTTGGCTCTCTCTTCTTTGTCAAATGACCGAACGGCGCGCCAGAACCACTGAATCTGCGGGGAAGATGCAGAATAGTTGTGGTACTCAGTGTTGTTCTTCCAATCATTGACATCGATCTCAGGTAACCCAGAAATGAGAAGTTCCAGTTCCTGTTCGTTGAAGATGGAGATAAGGTCTGCTGGTATAATATCGTGGAAACCACGGAGGAAGTGGTCCAGCTGCTCTTTCACAGACCCTGTCAATCGGTGTTCAACAACGTGTTGAACGTATTCTTCCTTGTTCTCCTGGGTGACTGGGATATTTCGGCCGTTCTCCACTAAGTCAATGACACGGGTTTCACCAAAATCTTCAACCTCAACAGAGAAATTCTCAGTAAGAATATCAGTAATGTCGTTTTCTAGCATCCACAACAGTGACTTGTAATAGTCGAGGTCAAGAGTCTCCATGTCTTTAATGGAAACTGACTTTCCTAGGATTCTCTTGTACACTGCTCTACTGAAGTGACAATCAAGAACCCTACCTTCATACAATGCTTTGCCAATGATGCGTCCGATAAACTTGAAGAACATCAGGTGCTCCTGATTGACGCCACTAAGCCGGTTGGGGTGGAATGTTGTGCGATCAGATGCGACTGGAATGAACAAAGCATAGTCGGGGTTGAACATTCCTCGGGCAAGGACCTGGAACCATTCCCTGCTTACGCCACCAGCATCAACACCTTCTTCGCCATGGAATCGGATGCTAAGTTTGCCATATTTCATTTCGTCTGCAGTCTTGAAATATAGAGACTTGAAGGAGTCGAGGAACACCTGGTCACGGCGGACAGAGAGCTGTAGTGGAGGGTGGGGATGGCGAACCTCGGTTCCGCGGGAATGGAGCTTGCGGTTGAAGTAGTTACGTTTGTTGTCGAACTCCAAAACCTTTGGATTTTTGACCAAGAGCGAGAATGTGCCGCTCATAAGTCGAGGGTTTTGCCGCACAAGCTCGTTGAGAATCTTGCGGTGATCCTCTGTAAAGTTGAAGAACAAGCCCTCCATACCAGAATCGGGGGGTGGGCTTGACACGGAGAACTCACGGCCTTGCTTGGGGAAAAGGGGAATATCCTTCAGTGTGGTATTCTTGCAGACAACCATGAGTGACTCGATCAATGGAAGAAGGGTCGTCGCGACATTCAGCATCGATTCTTTGCGTTGAACAGCGTGGAGGCAATCACTAAGCTTCGTCCATAAGGGCCCAAAAGTAACACTCTCATAGAGCGCCTTCAGGGTGTTTGCTTTCTCAGAGGCCTCCGCTTCAGATATTTTCTCCTTGTCTCGACTAGGATCAAATAGATAATCGAGTGCTGTCAAAACTCGTAGCAGCTTGGCTTGGTCGGAACTTGCTGGCGAGAATTTCGCAAGAGCCATGCCCTGCACATCAGTACCAGATTCCGCATTGGTAATATGAGGTTTAAGTTCCTCCAAGTCGACCAATATCGATTTGCTCAAAGTCTGCGCTTGACCAACCAACTCTTTCCCAATGATTTCTTTTGCACCCGGGATTGAAGACAAGTTATTGATGGTGGAAAGCGTTTCTCTAAATGTCCTACCATTGCACTCGCGGGCGGAGAGAATATGAACCACAAGTCGTAAATTGTACTCTGGGACCACGGGAGGGTCAATTGTTCGTACTTTCTTCTTTCTGTCTTCCTTGGAAGATTTATCTCCCTCGGTATTTCCATCTTCAGCTTGCTCTTGTTGGCCGGCAGTATCTGAAGTCGTCCCGGCAGTTGGCTCCGCCATAGTAGTATCTGGTGGGTTGCTTGCCTGGGTTTCACCTGCATCCTGTGGCTGGGTCACAGTTTCGGGCTTCGTCTCAGCCTCTTTAATTTCGGAATCTTCTTGCTTGTCTGATTCTCTTCGGAGTAGTATTGTCAAAGGATGGGTAATACTGCTAAGTAATCCGGATAGCTGTTCCATGCAGTTAGGACTGTCCAAGATTGCTTTCCGGTCGAGAAGGGACAAAAGAGAATTCAGTGCAAATTTATTTGCCCTATTTTCCTTTGCCTTCCCTTTGCGTAGGGCCTTCATTTTAAGCGCTGAGACGGCTTCATGCTCGGTGAGGAAAAACCATGGGATATGTGGGTTGTACTGAGTTAGGAACGAAAGAGCACCTAAGCATTGTTGAATTACAATCAACGGGGTCACATCATGGTTGGCGCCGGGGGCAGGGAGCGACAAAGCCCGTTTGAGGGATTGGGGAGTTCGCTGAGAAGTTGGCGTTTTGGCGCGCAATGACAAATGAGCGAAGCTTCGCTCCACTGCCGAAATATCAGCGCTTCCGTCTTGGAGGATCAGCAGAATGAGGCTGATCACTTCTGATCTATTCTGACGGTTCTGGCAAACATTATGTAGGATATCATTTACATGATGTCTAGCATTCGGTTGTAGTGGCATAAACATCAGTCGAAGTAGAGTGGCTACACCAGCTTTATCGACGACCTGCACAATCTGCCGGCGTTGAGGCTTCTTGGGCTCCTGGGTTTGACGAGCCGGGGGAGGCGGGTCTAGGACCGGGTCACCAAACCGAGGAAGTCTGCGGCCAGTCAATGCCCGAGCTTCCGTCACAAACTCTGGGCCTAGTGATGCCAATATATCATCAGGTTGGTCAGCCAAGACAGTTTGTCGCAATGATGGCTCAAGTGTTGCTATGAAACTGGCAGGATCCATATCTTCGGCATGAGGACCTCCATTCGCTGCTGCTTGCCGACGAGCTGCTTCCCGCTCTCGACGACGGCGATCGGCTGCTTCTTGCTGTAGGAGTTCCTCTCGGATTTCTGCCGGCAATGCTTCTAAAAATTCGGGGTTGATCTCGCTTGGTTCTTCGCCGGCGACGGCTGCTTGAGAACGTTGTTCTGCAAGTTGTTGCAAGATTACTTCCTCGCGCATTTCTTCTGGGAGTGCCTCAAGGTATTCCGGATCGATTTCCATGCCAGTAATATCAAGTTGGCGGCCGCGTATAATCGTGTGAACTCTTTGAACTGGCTCTGACGGGCCTGCTTCAGGGGCTGCAGCTTCAGTAGAAGGCTGCTCCGCAGCACCAGGTGTAGGCTGCACGTCTTCCATTGGCTCAGCATCACCCGCTTGAGCATTTTCCTCTGCACGGCGTTCTTCCTCCAATTTTCTAGCTTCTTCCTCTTCTTCCTTCCGTTTTTTCTCCTTTTCAACCTCTTCTCGAGCAATGCGTTCTTGTTTCTCCCGCTCAAGCTTTTCTTCGTCCAAACGCTTTCGCTCTTCTTCCAATTTCTTTTGTCGTTGCTTGTCTTCCTCGATAGCTGGAGGAATTAAAAGTTTGAGAATTGACTGCACAATTCGCTGTGCCCTTTCCATATAGAGGTTGTTGAAATGAAGTCGAGCTTCTTCCTGCCAACGATTTAATGTCGAGCCGGTTGGGAAGGCAACAGCCTGGCCTGGATCATCACGAGAACGTGGAGTAACCGCTGGAGCTCTTCCTAATCCAAGGAGATCCTGGAGACGGCCAGGGAGAACGGATCCACGCTCCACATGAAGGTGGAATCCATCAGGCCGGGGTATGATGCCAAACTCTGGTCCTCCTTGGCCAATTGCTTGCATAATTGCATTCATGAATGTAACAGGGCTATCGATTGACAAAAGCCTACCATGGCTATTTTGGTCCATTGCAGTTACCCAGTCACTGAATGCTTCCGCATTTTGCCCTCGCCTTTGCGCCGGCTGTTCATGTGGGCGACCATAACGGCGTAGAAGGGGGTTAACACCATCATCATTTCCCGGTTGTGTAACTTGAGTCCGGTGAGTTCGATAGTCTGGTACTGGTATGATACCCTGTCGACTTGCCATCTGACCCGGGAAGAAATTCCAGGACGAAATATTCCGTGAAGGAACGCGGTTCTGGGTCAGAACTGGCTCATCCCAGCTCCACGGTGAGTTTGAAAGGTCCCCATCATCATCTAAAGTACGCTTTTGTCAGTCCTCAAAGCAAGGCAGTAGTTGAGTAGTATGACCACTTACGGTCGTATTCATGGTATATTGCTTGCTCGTCGTCAAACTCATCAACTTCTTCTTCCAGTTCGTCAACTTCTTCATCATCGTCTGGTGAAAAGTTAGCTGGATGCGAGTTATATATTGCATGACTGCACCATACCTTCTTCCTCATTCAAGTCATCCTCTACAAAATCTTCTCCAAGGTCCCTCATATCCATTCCATGGTCGATTTCGTGGTCCAGGCGCTCAACAGTGGCGCCAGTCTCTTCCAGGACTCTCAGAAGATTTTCTATGTGAGGGGGACCGGGACGGTTGTGTTCTCCTTGTCCCATGCCACCTCCTAATTCAATCTCGAGCTGGTTCATCATGGCTAACTCATCGTCTGCCTCTTCGGAACCCTCATCACTTTCCCATTCATCTTCTCCATCTTGGAGGCTGTTATTGTCATTATCACCGGTAATTTCACCAGCAACAATTCGTTCGTCCAGATGGTCATCGCCGTCGTCCTCGTCCTCGTCCTCATCATCATCTGCATCATCTTCATCATCATCGTCCACATCATCCTCATCCTCGGAGTCTCCGTCGATTAAAACTTCGATATCCATTGGAGTATCGCCCGGTAATCCTTCAATTGGACCTCGCTCATTCATCTCCTCCTCATCTTCGTCACTGACAACTTCTCCATCGTGCTCTGGCATGTCTTCTTCGTACTCCATCTCTTCATCATACTCATCGTCGTACATTTCCTCGTCCTCTTCATCCTCGTCACTAGAAGTCTCTTCCTCATGTGGTTCAAACATGCCTAGGGTAGAGTGACGGAAAAGATCGGGTGTTTCTTCTCTTGACGACGAAAACTCAGATACCGAACTTGCTGACGATATTTCATCAGAATCACTTTGATTCGGTTTCGCTTCAATCGAGCCGCTTTCGCTTAAAAGTACGGCAGTCTGAGATAGTTTATTAAGAGGTCGTAGGATATATTTCACGACGCGCTTGGATGATGGGAAGTTTAAGTCAATGTCAGCAATAGAGGCAGTGAAGGCATTGACAAAGTTCTTCTCAAACATCGTCTTAGCGATCTGGCGAGTAGCTGATGAAGTTCGTGGTGTGCCATCTGGGCCAGAACCACCACTGAGCATTTTATCGAAAAGGTCTGCCATGCACATGAGGCGAGCGTACTTAGAGTCAAGTGGCTCCCGAGAAGCACTAGCATCTTTATAGGACTTCAGGGCGTGTTCCAGGACAAATTTTCGGACAAATACCAAGTCAGACTCAACCTCTTCTTCTTGCGAAGGAAGGGATCTCCGTCCGCCATATTCAATCGTCTTTGTACATAGAGCGATTATAACTTTCATTGCCCATCCTGAGGTATTAACACGCTTTTTGAATGGAATGGATTCGTCATGTTCCATGGTTCCAATTGGAATAAGGCCGTGAAGTAGATAATTCAAAATACCGGACCGTGGCTTTGATGGGGTTGTTGCCAGGGGATCTGCCTTGCGGGAAAAGTTGATGAACTCCACCTTGGTGCGGTTATAAGATGACAGGAGTTCCGTCAAGCAATGGAGGAGGAAGCATCTATAGATATAGATAGGATGGTCCTCTGCCTTGAATTGGGGTTTCTCCGGCTTTTTCGAGGAAGTCTCACGGTTTGTAGCCTGAGATGAGGATGAGCTCTCGCCAGTGGCCATTTCGATATCCTCAGCTCGATTACCCGTTTTCTCAGGGGGCGGAGCAGGGGCGGACTCTTTGTCGTCAACATCTCTATATGAAAGCAATTCAGAAAGAAGATAGTGGACAACGCCATCTGGATGCTCAACAATTGGTGTCTTCAACTCCTTGTGTTTCTCCTTGCTTTCTTTAGGTTCATGTTGGTCAGCCTCCTTAGCTGCTCGCGGAGACTGCCCTCCCTCGGTCTTAGCTTCTTCCTGCTTATCTGTTTCTTCTGACGACTGCAAACCATCAATCTTCTTTGGATTCTTTAAAACAAGTGTTTGAGGCCGCTGGTTTGCGTCATATCTTGAAAGTTTCAGCAGCTCATTTGTCACCTCAACAAAGAGTCGCGGGGCTCGTATTACCAAATGGCTATATTGGCGAACGAAATTAGTAGTGTCTGTCTGGCGAGAAGGCCTGGAATCGAAGCTGGTAATGATATCATTTCTTATTATTTGGCGGATTGTGTCTTCATCTTCAACGATATGTCGGAGGATGAGCATAAATGTATTTTGTAGCTTTTCGTTGGATGGATTGCTCAATTGTTTTATCATGACAAACAAGCGTTGAAGGTTCCTGCGCTCTCCAAGCCTTGTTGCGAGTACACGTTCCCGAGTGAGCATAACGAGCACCCGGGCAACAGACAGAGCGAGTGACTCATCTTTACCGATCCGTGGTAACACTTCCAAAAGGGCATCGAAGAGCTGCGTTTTACCTTCTAGCGAAACAAGAGGTTCCCCTAACTCAGCAACATCAAAATCCTCGGGGGTATCGGCATTCGGTGGATTCCATTGGATGGCCTTAGGAGAGGCGTCTTCAGCAAGTACTTTTTCAAGAATAAGCAAAACTTGACCAATCCAGGGGCAAGGCTCATCGGGAGATTTCTCTGATGTAGGAGGTGGAACTTTGACAAATCCAAGTAAAACATAGAAATTATCTTGGAGTGGTTCGAGAGTGGACTCGTAAAACTGTGGCTCCTGTAGGAGTAAGGCGAGAAGGCTCGCATGCGCTGCAATTTTCTTTCCTCCTGTCAAAAAATTCTCGTCCATTTGAAGAGAAGCTAGGAAATGCAGCAGCGTCTCTCCAATCTCTCTCCTAAAGTTGAAGGGGTTTTCAACCTTGGATGCAGAGTTAATAAGGTCAGCCAGCTCGAAGGTGACATCGTGATGGGCATTCAGAACTTCCAGGCATCGCTCTATTAAATTTGAGCGAATGATATCTCGTTCTTTGTCCAGATCATCTATTGTTACAAATTCTCGCTTCTTTGGCGATCCCGCAGAAGCAGCCTCACTGGCTTTGCTTTCCGTGCTGGCAGCAGCAGCCGAACTTTCAGCTCTAGCATTTGAAGGTGGCGATGCCTCAGAAGAGGTATCACCCTCTGTTTCCATGGCTTCAGTAGCCTCAGCATGTATCTCAGCCAAAATTGATGCAATAGGATCAACCAAATCTTGTGCCGATTGTGCAGAAGGACCTGGGCTGGTATCGTTACCTGTGCGGCTTCCTGAAACATGATCGCCCTGGGAAGTAATGCCGGGTTTCGCTACTGCAGCTTCAGCATCATAGTCTGGAATGGCACTTCTAGGCGGAGTGCGAACACCTTTTTGGGCGTTGCAGTATTCCTCAGCAGCACTAGAGGAGTTATAGCAGCGGTAGAGCGCTTCTCTGGCAAGAGATTCATCGTATCCCTTTTCAACAAGTTGACCAAGGCGTTCAGGATGAATAGCAAATGCCCTGAGAGCTGCTACTTGAAGTCTCGGCATATTATCTCCACGGCGATAAGCATTATTTTCATGTTCTGCTTCAAGAACCAGGCGAAGGATCTCAATTAACGACTTGACAATGGAACTAGAGGCCGTCTCCACAAAATCTGACGTCCACATGCTTTTCACTAGAGGTAAGGCCTCCATTCGAAGCTCAACTAGGAATTGTTGAGGAAGGAAGGTATCAAATCGCTCTCTATCACGATCATTACTGGCCATTGCTAAAGTCTGAGCAGAGTCAAGAACATATCGAGCAGAAGTCATCTCCGAGAAGAATGTCAAGATTATTTTGATTCCTCCATATGCTGATGCAAGTCTGGCTGGCCGGTCTCGAGGTGATGAAGTGGAGTGCTCTAATGGGGCCAACTCCTTGACTTCTTGGAGAAAGATATCAGCTATTTCTTTCATTTTCTGTATGCCGTTTTGCCTCTTGAATGCGACAAGAATCATCGTCAGGCACTGAGAGTGTGTACGTTCGGTAGCTAATACGTTTGTTAGAGGTTTCATAGGATTCACTAATACACATAGTAACTGGAAGTGAAACTTACAGTCAAATATTAATCGCGAGAACGATGACAGTATCACAATAAGGTAGGAAAACCGATCCTTCGTGGATACACACTCATTAGGTCCTTTAAGCTCCAACTGCTGAATTACCATAGAAGCAATTGCGCCAGCAACCACAGCTGCTTTCTGTCGTTGGTAGGTGTCGACGCGCCGTTTCGCCACCAGTCCACGACCTAGAGAGTGCAAAAATCCAGTTATGCAAGTAGGGACCGTTCCCAACAGCCAGCGAAGGGTCTTAACGTTCTTCACATTTGCCCCTTTATCCAACTGTGTAGAGGCAGGGTTGTCGACTTTAGGGGATTTCTTAGCTCGGCCGCCCTGTGCTGTCTGTGTATCTTCAGCATGAGACTCAGCAGCAACATCACCTGCTTCAGATCCTCCGTCCGCTGTAATGGCCGGTGGGGTTTCTCGACCTTCACCCAGCGCTTCAATGCTAAATCCAGGAAGCTTAGTGACCTCATTCCACGCCTCAGGCATATCTTGCTGGAGTAGTATCTCTTCCCAAACACAAGCAGCATGCAGCCGCCCCAAACGCTCGGAAAGTAAGGCATACTTATCAGCAAGATTGACCTGGTGAAATGGTAATGGCTGCTGTGCTGGACGTGTAGGATATATTGGCGGAGTATAGACTTCGCGGAGAATATTGGTCAATGTTCCAACAGCAACAAGGTGCTTGGCATAATAAGTTCCTTTCATCTTTAATTCTACCTCTTCGGGGCTGGACTCGAAAGCTTGCAGAGGGCTTGTAAAGGGGGAAAAGAAACCCACTGATCCCAGGTCACTGGACCAGAATGGCTCAAGCTTATCGAGGGCGGAGAGGGTACGGTTGAGAAGGGGTGGAAGTACTAGGTGAGGTTTTGTCTCTGCCATAAGATGGATGACTTGAGCCAGTTGGTGGTTCGCTTCATTGTTATGGAAGCTAAAGGGCAAGGACTGGAGGACAGCAAAGTCGAGGACGTATTCAACCCCTCCGTTTTCTATGAAATTGGCACAGATAGCCTGATTCTCGAAGAATGCACCTAAGAATTTCAGTACTGGAAAGATATAACCCGTGACGGCAAGGCCATCCGCATCAGTATCCTTGGTAGTCCACTTGCTGGTGTCCGGTTCCCCAAAGAGCTCTCGATAGCTAGTGCTGGCGTTACCTAGGTTAGGGACGGAGGCACTAGGCCAGTAATCTTCATTCTGAAAGAAATCAGAGCAGAGATCACCGATAGTAGCAGATACACCGCCAGAGATAGATTCCTTTCCATCTTGGTCCTCAACCCAGAGTTTCGCTCCTAGTCCCGATTCCCATGCCTTGTACTTGCCAAGAAGTCCGACACGGGCAACCATGCGCAGAACAGAGCTCATGACCGACGCCTTCAAAGCCGGGTGGTGTCTCACTAGTTCATCGAATGAATTTCCCAACAGTCGAAGCAAATTCGAGTCATTTTTCATGCATTTCACGTGTACGGGACTTTCGAAAATATCGAAAAATCTTTCCAGTGCGTCAGATGACTGGAATAGATCAAGGCCGGTCGAATTCAAACATATTGCCCCAAATGCCAATGGTATGCCGACAATAGCTTCTGTTGAGGGTAAGATTCCATCAGACCCCTTACGCTCTGGAGCCTTGGAAAGATGGTCCAGGAGATTCTTATTGTCCGATGAAGTAGATGCAGGGTTGAACAAATTTTGGGGTTTGGCAGGCTTCTTATCCCCTTCAGCCGACTCCTCCGGAACTTCTAGCGGTTTGCACATAACGGCTTCGAGGAAGCTTTTGCTAAGTCCGGCTTCAGCTATGACGGCATAACTGGTAGGCTCATTGTGGATGAAGTGGCTCATAATGTTAATGGAGCCGCTCCATACATGCGAGCCAAAGGTCTTTGCATTTTCGATAACAAGGCGAAGTGCACTAAGAAGAGGAGGGGAGTCTATGAAGTTGCGGATCAAACGTTCAAACCCGCCGCTATTATGTTGCATTACATGGTTGACAAATTTGAACAACCATCGTATGGCCTGTTGTTGGAAATAGGGTATGGAATAATCGGTAGATGGAGTTTTAAATTCCTCAGAAATCCCTTTACCCTCTCCCACCATATCAAATGCGGATTTTGTCTCGGTTGCAATAAGGTCAGATATGGCATCGAAGCCCTTTGCAGTAGCTAGAGTTGCCAAAGCATCTCGAACCGAGTGGACATAGTTGTCGAGAAACTCTAAAACTCTGGGGTATACTCTTCGGGCCTTTTCTGTTCGAAGATTCAACATATCCACAAACATGGGGATCAGGCCAGCAGGCATCAATGTTTCCGGAGCTCTTGTCCCGGAACTTGGAAGAGTTCGAAGAAGACCAAATAGGGCATCGCGCCAGTCATCTCCCTCAATGTCATCAACTAGGCCATCTTCCGCCGCCAGTTCGGTAACAGTTTTCCGGACCAGAAACATCAAAATGCCATGGTTGACATTTAAATTTAAGGCAGCACAGACGTCCGCTGATCGCGTCTTATGCTTAGCTAGAGCATCTAAACACGTTAAGGCGAACGACTGGTTTAACGTAGATGCGCTGATATCGCCAGCAACCCCGAGATGCACGAAGTCAGAAAGTTGGTAAGCTAGCTGGAGCCGTTTGGGTTCGTCGGAGTCTTGCTGGAGAATTTTCTGTTGAAATATAGCTTCCGGGTAAATATAAGCCAAATTACTGAGGGCAAGGAGTCTGATGCCGAGTAGTTGCCTTCGAGTCTCGGGAGACTTGGCGAGGGCAGCAGCTATTCGAAGTCGATTTAGGAGGTCATAGGCCGACTCCTTTGGCAAGTCGCCCAGATTTTCCTTCAAAAGCTCTTCCGTGCTGGTAGACAGAACTTTAGAGTTTGGAATCTCCAGTATTTTCATTCCTCTAGTAGCCTCTTGTCTCGTTGCCGGTGATTGAGTTGTGGGTGTTGGAGAGTCATCCACGCTCGAGGTATGGAGCAACCTTGAGCTTTGATACTCAGAAGATCTGTGACGCAATGGTGTCGGTGTCATTTGAACCTGAGAGGAGGTATTTAAAGTGCCGCCAGATGTCTCTACAGTAGCATCACGTGGGTAATAAGCAAATCGCACCGTTCCCCAATCTTTCCATTCAGCAGTGCCAATCTCAGCTGCTGGAGAAATATCTGTCATCGTAATCTTGTCAGATGGTACTTTAGTCAGCGATATCAAGTCGTTGGCATTGCATTTATCACCCGCTACCGCACTAGGTTGAGCAGACTTGTCCTTCCCTTTTTCCAACGAAGTTCCTTCGGCAGTCTCAATGAATGAAGGTGGGCGTGGGAAAGGTGACGCCAGTTTTTGGACACGGTCCAACTCAATGTTATAATGCGCCGCCAGTAAGCTTTGATGGAAGTGGGTGCTACTGGTAGATCGTTGGCGGAAGTAGTATCGCTGTGCCAGACAGAGAGACAGTCGTAGAGTGCATTGAATTAGACTGAGGGATGTTGAGTTCAGAAAAGCATTCAAACGCTCGCTGCTGCTGAACAAGCTGCGGTTGCCACACTTCTCTAATAGGAGCCGTGAGAAATCCAGTATGGACTCTACTAGCTCTCTATCACCTTCAGGCCCTAGCCCCAGTTGGTCAAGTTTCCGTTCGCCCTCCTCATCATTAGAAACTAGGCTTGTAGAAACAGAATCTTCGACAAGAACAAGTCGACCAAAGGGCTTCGACTGAGGTCCCTCATCTAGTCCATATTTCGTGACGACACGCGCCAATAGCTCGTCAAATCGATTCAACACACCGATCCAGTGATATAGGTCCCCCCGCGGAAACGGCCACTGGCGAGGAAATGTTGCGAGGTACGACGGTAGTTCGGCGACAGAAATCTCAATAGCTTTCTTAGAATACTGAGCTATAGCCGGCGACTACAGAAGGTGGGATATCATGTTAGCACCAGCACGAACCGAGGCGGTTAGGAAGTTTAGGCGGAGAGCCGAGTAACTTACAATCGTAGCCTCATGCTTAGAGCTAGCCACCTTCTCAATTCTCCCCATGATGATGGCGTGCCGTACTGGCAACCATGTGAAGTAAAAGGAAAACTACCAGGTTTCCGTCGAATTCAGGCGCAGTGGATTCGGCTAATTCGGTTTCCTTTCACTTTTTCTAGTAAGAGTTTGAGGGGAATAAGCGAAACGTCGAACTCTTCGAAGTTGCAATTTTGGTGAAGTAACAGAATAGTTGCCCAGACTGCAGACTGTCTCTTATAAAGAGTGAATGGATATTGAGATAACGGTTCGGTTTTGGTAGGGTTGATGATGTAGGTTGGTGGTGAGGTGGGTTGTGACGAAGTAAGTTGTTTTAACACAACAGGTAACAGTTGAGGCAAAGAATAGGAAGACGAGTGCAGGTCGTCGTCCTATGGCTTTGCACACAAGCTTCCGTAATGGATACTTCGTAACTGTGGGTGAGAGGGAGTCGAAATTTTTAGATGTTGTTTGTTGTATTTCTTTTGGAGTTGACTTGCGAAGGAAGTGAGAGGGCAAAATAATCGCCATATTGCATTAGGTAAGCACGCGCTTCGGAGCTTTGGCCATTCCAATTTTGCTGCCCGCCCGCTCACTCGGAACGGCATTACTTTATGCCGGTCTAATGTTGGTGGAAGCCTGGGGGCGCGAGCCTAGCCCGCCAGTGGATGTCCAGTGGTAATATACACGACGAAAAACAGGGATTTCAAGCATTTTTAGATAGGTAACTAATGATAAAGAATTGCGTATTAAGTCTATAACTTGAAAATAAAAGAAAAGGCTCCCAGGCTTCTTATCCATCTCTTCAAAAAAGTAATAAAACCCGGCCATACCCCAGGAAAATCAGTATCCCAATCTTTCATCGTCATAATCGTCACAAGGTAGTATTCTAGTTCTTAGCTGTTTGCTCCCCTTTGGTTGGCGGCAGACTCCCATCCCATTGTACCTTCATGGAGACTGGGAATGGCGAATAACAGCTCTGGTCCTCAGGCATGTACAGCGTTAGGTCAGCTGGTCCAGGGGCCGTCTTGAGATGACCTTGCGGTCCTGGGGTACGTCGGAGGGCTTCTAATTGGCAGAAGACCTTCAACATTGAGATAAGAGCAAGATTACACATCTCGGAACCAAGACATGTATGAGGCCCATATCCGAAGTGAATATAAGATCCTAGACTTCGAGTGAGGTCGACTTTGGTAGGGTTCGGGAAAACTGCCGGATCCATGGACGCAGTAACCTTATTAAAACAAACCCCATCAGATGCCGCACGTTCCAGTATAACTATCACGCAAATTAATTCATGAGGACTTACCAAATTACATGCAACACGTTGACCAGGTTTCAGTAATATATCCATATCACCGTCTTGGACTTCAGTCGTCACTGCAACGTCGCGATAGAGAGCAACGACGGATTTCATCCTACACCCTTCTAAAACACTACAGAATCGTTAACGTACGAAACAGGTTAAAGTCCATCAGTTAACTTACTATCGAAGAAGGATGTCATCAGCCTCTGGAGTATCAAGTTTTGATAGCCTCCGAATCTCTGGCAGATGCACAGAACCTTCTTTAGAAAGGTAGTAATCAAGGCACTGCGAAGAAAGCTGCCCTTGATTCGCAACCATACCGCCAGCAGTAGGCAAGAGATGTGACCAGACGATATCCTGAGGTGGAAGACCTGTATCCAGCAACCGCTGAATCATATGTATTCCATAGTCGGCGAGAATATTGTCATGTCGATCAATCCGATCAATCAGAGGCGCCAGGAACCCTGTCCTCTTGATTAGCTCAACGTTTGTCATCACAAGTAGACCCAGAGTCTGGGAGTTCTCCCGCGCTGCCTCATGAAGAGCAAAACTTTTCGCAGGGTCAGTGTCACAGAATATGCATTTGAAAACAAGTGCCATGATGTCATAGAGTTCCTTTTCAGTATAAACACCTCGCGGGTTCTCCTCGGTCTTCAAGGGCAGAGAGAACACTGCAGCGCAGAAATGAACGTGTGCCATGTTTATAACATCACGGACAATATCTACTTGGTTGATAGTGCCACCTAACTTGTATGCCTTGCTGTGGAGAAGTTTTATCGTAGTATCCTTATAGAAAACTCTAACTTCTTCACGCCAACGATCAATATAGAGGGCGTCATGCAGTATCCTTCTAGATACTGAATTGGCCGGACGATCCCCTGAAAGCATGAAGTCTTTCCCAAATGGATGGCCATCTCGCTTCATCAAGTATTCGATGGTTTCACCCCAGGTAACTTTGAAATCCCTCTTATTTCCAAGGACAGTTCGGCAGGCGGAGTGAGAATTGACCATAACAGGCGGGTTCATCCGTCCAGGCTTGTCCCAGGAGTATTTCCGAGCAATACCCAAGTCAGAGAGGATTTTCGAATTTTCCCAGGGGTTAACGAATGGGAAATGAGCGTAGACAGAATTGCGTTTGAAATGATGAGGAAAAGCCCTGAAGATAAGTTTGTGGAATACATGTCCCTTATTGACCTTAAGGTCATAGTTGCATTCGTTCAAGCCCCAGTTGGTAAGGGCCTTAGGAGTATAATCAGTGGTGTAAAAGCGGTCTCCACGAACGAGTGCAACTGCATCCGAGAGAATAGCACGAGAGATTGTGAAATTGGGGCATAGCCCGCTTCCTGGAATCATTACTTCTTTTACCTCCTCGACGACGACACCAGGGTAAAGTTCAACATTATCGGGATGATCGTAAAGATGTCTCAGCTGGTCAGCAATATATGGGTCCGAGTTGATATCTTCGAATGTCTCGTGCGGTTTGAGATGGAAATGTTTCCTGAATTCATTGAGGGTTGCTAAGTTCCATGACCTTGCTTGCATAATTCCCAGAATCTCAACGGGCCGTAAAAGTTTTGGTACGCCCTTGGCACCAAAAGCCCCAGCGCAGTCCTCGATTCCCTCAGTCAGCATCTGAACAAGTTCATCGTCGTTAAACAGCCCGTCAGGTCCGCGTTTAAGGTGTCCCAATCCCCGCTCTTGAGGGTCGTCCGGAAGATTCGAGCTAAATTTTCCCAGATTTCGAAGAAACTCTTCCATTGGGATGGTTTCAGGGTTTCTCCCTGGAAATATCTTGCGGAATATACTTTCCGACCATTTGACATCACGCTCTGAAATACAGGCATGCCATCTGTAGATGAGATTGAATTCCACGGAAACCTGGTTTCCTGTTGCAGAGGCAATTGGGGAGCCTAGGAACGGCTTTGCATTCTCTGCTCGCGGATCAAGACTCCAATCGCTATCGATACGATTGATGTTAAGGATTGTTCGCACATAGTCTTTCAGGATGCAGTTGATATATAATCCACAGGTGATCAGACGACCAGTCTGAAAAAGATCATTGTCGTATTTGGCAAATGCCTTCGCATCTCCATCCTGAGGCTTGGAAAACCTACCACCTTCATTGATGGCGGCCAAGTTGCGAACCACGTAGTTGTGAAAGCGATTGAACATCACAAGCAAGAGTCCAGAGCCAGGGGGGAGCCCATGTACCCGTCTTTCGGCAAAACTGTCAGGCTTCAGCTTCCCATCTCTGAAGGTTCTTACACTGTCTTGCTCTGCCTGATTTGATCCATATAAAGGAGATAAATCAAGATAGGACGATGTTTTAGAAACGGTGGGGTTCCGTGGATCAGTTTTGAATAAGTCTTTGGATGGTATTAGAAATATCTAGAATGTGATATTATACAGCGCGGGGAGACCTACCATGAATGATGATTGAAGCGAGATAGAATAGCATACTAGAGATCTGGCTAGGGTGTGGTTCAAATCTCTCTCGGGCCATGAGCGAATCAAAAAGAACCCCCGGGTCTGGAAGGTTGACCGGTTGTACAGATTTTGGCTGAACAGTCTTTGCATACCTCGACCCAGCAGCCCCAACACCCGGGCGGAATATGTTCTATATCACAAGTGAATAATCAAATAACTGATAGATTGAAGCGTCTGGGATATTCTTACATTGTAAGACCCATCCGCAGTTCGATACATGTATTCGGACCCAACTGGTCTATCAAGTGCGTTAGTACTTTAAAGAGTAGATGTGTATTGAAACAGAACCTTACGTGAGTGGGGGGTGCTGTAAATCATTCCATAGTTGAGAGAGCAAGTCTTCTGTTAACGCGCTGCCATCTTTAGACGTGCTAGGTAGGGATGCTGCCAGCTGTTTCATTCATTCTTCAGCGCGATAAGTCCCCTAATCATGGTATATAAGACACGTCGTACCTGGATAATCCTCTCCATGATATAACGCTTATCATCAATTGGTTGGCCAGTCGCGGCTAGTTTAGCAACTTCTGCGAGTGTCCCTGCATCCCCTAGTTTCATGCGGGCAAGGTCATCCAAAATACCCGTTGTATGCATCGTTGGAAGATAGGTTCCATCCCCGGACGCAACAGGTAGTGGGCGCAAGGAAGCACTGATAGCTCTAGTAACATCTGAAACGCCCTTTTCAATCTCCTCTCGGAGAGTCAGGTGGTCACCAACGTCGCCCATGGCAGCTTGTGTATGATGAGGATGAGCACTTCTAGATATATACCTAGGAGAAATAGGGACAAGTGGTTATTAAGGTCGATGAGCGAAGGGCGCTGAGGCCCGGTCTCAGCGAAGATAGGTTGAGAGAACCAGAAGAAGAAGAATAGTAATAATAATGGTGATAATGATAAAAATAAACGGATATCAAGGTCTAGAGAACGCGGGTATTAAGATAGAGGAACGGCGAATATGAGAATGGAAGCATCCTAGTCACATTCTTATATTGTCCAGACCTCCATCGCCATCGGCAATAATAGCTTGAAATCTGGCGCAAAAGCAGACGAAAACGTGCCTGGAAGGAAGATCCCGTGGACTTGAACCTGGGAAAGAGCAAGTGACGGTTAGTTTATAATCAAACCCCCATCGTTCTTGTTGGTGGTGGGAAGCTAGGTGTTATTTCTTTGCTGCAAAGGGTGAGAAAGGGTAAGAGGCAGAGATTTCTAGAGTTATTGCTTTTGGATGCGCGACTTGCCAGGCTGGCAAATGCATTTCCGACCCTTGGTTCGGCTTCTGATGCAAGCATCAAGCTACAATAAATCTGATAACACAGATGACTAGCGATAGTGTTTGTAAAACACGGCTAAAAAAGCAAAAAGCTAAGTAGTCAATAGAGAACCAAGAGAAACAGCGTTCACAAGCACAAGCTTTGCTGGGTTAGCGTTTCGGTATCAGATAGGTCCGGGGATGCTTTGGATTCAATACGGTGTCGTTTTATTGGTGCGCTCAAAGACCTTATATGCAAGACTGCCATCCATGTAGCCAAGCTGGGAGCGGACTTGTTTGTGAGGAGGTTGTAGTATATGGTCCATGGTTGGTGGGTAAGCAGGGAGCGTGCTTGAGCTTTTACCTGCTTGGGAGAGAGCACAAGTACAAAGGCCTAGTCAGCATGGATGTACGTAAATAGGACTAAAACGAGGGGGCCATCATGATGCATTTTAGGCTTGACTTTATCAATCTCTGTGCAAACAATTACCCCTGTCGCGCAGCAGGCTTCCTTTTGAGTTCACAAGCATCCAAGCATGCGTCCGTAAAATATCACCGACTCTGGTCCTTGTACCCGGGATCTCTGGTACGTCCAAAGAACGAACGATATTGTTGCAAAATGGACGGGATGGTTGGGGAGCGCTGGGTCTCCTGTGCAGTTAGTTAACGAGCAGGCCAATCATGGAGGTAGTTAGATCGGTAACGAGACAGCTGCAACACAGAGCGTGACCTTCGTTTTGATAGAAAATGACCAGCATCTATGATCCCGCAGAGCCCTGTCCACGCAACACATTATGGCTCCTGAAAAAGAAACGAAAAGAAAAGCGAGTCAGCGAGAAAACAAAACGAAAAGATGAAGACCGCAGAGTTGAAAGATGGAGATGAGGTCGAAGTAGAGGTTGGCTGTTTGCCTAAACGGGACAAGATACGGGCCGCAATGCTTATGTCACGCTTACTTAAGAAACCATATTTAGACCAAGCATGCGTTGTTTGTAGATGCAGAGCGGCAATCTGCAGAAAAGGAAAACAGCCGGAAAGAGGGCTATGTAGTAAACATCAGTTTGGACATCTTCGCCCCTTGATGAAGCAATCTAAGCAAAGCCCAAGAATCCTTTTTGGCGCAAAGTAGACTGACGTAGTAGCCAGCTATGGATCAAGGGGCCAGGTGAACACGTGATCGTTAATCTTATATAATCACTAAGCTCCAAAGCTGCTGCATCCTTTTTGCAACTTCACGATCAACAGCAAATGCGATGGAACCTTGAAATATTTTCCAACTCCCCACATCCAGCGCAATACCTACCAGTAAACGGTGATTGGTACCTGGAGACATGGCAAGCCAAGGAATCTTGCTAGAGGTCAAGCCGAGAGGTAAGTAATGCTCGCAGCTGATGCTTCTAATTTCCCCCTCATCATGGCCATTGTCCAGCATATTCTACTTATTTTACCTTCCAAGGTACAAGCTCACTAATTCATCTTGTTTTACTCCCTTTAATTAGGCAAGCCCATATCCAAACTTCCAGAAAAAATCTCAATTGGCCCTGAGGATAGCCTTGCCGCGCTTTATTCCACGATTTCTAGGCGAGCTGGTTTCCCGGTTACCCGGCTTAGGATCACCAAGGGCAGCGATGGTAGTCTCCTGAAAAACGACGCCCGTGTTACAGTGTCGAGTACTGGAGTCAGAAATCAGAGTGTCATCTATGTTAAAGACTTGGGTCCGTTGGCTGCCCTCCATATCCTCTCATCGTTGTGCAAAGATAGCAGTGCTAATACCAGGTGAAAATAAACAGGACCTCAAATAGGATGGCGTACAGTCTTCATTATCGAATACTTAGGACCCCTCATCATTCACCCACTGGTTCTCTATGGCCTACGACCTTACATATACCGAAGTCCTAAGCCACTGCCTCCTATATCTGACCTGCAGGCCTTGACCTGCACCTTGCTGACACTCCACTTCATCAAGCGCGAGCTGGAAACCCTGTTCGTCCACCGATTTAGTGTCTCGACGATGCCTTTTACCTATGTTTTCCGGAATAGTGCCCATTACTGGCTCCTTGGCGGTGTAAACCTCGCATACTGGGTATTCTCGCCTTCATCGCCAACAGCCACCGACCACCCTAACCCAGCGTTGATATATTCAGGCCTGGTACTCTTCCTCATAGGTCAGCTGTCCAATCTCTCGACCCATCTCACCTTGAGAAGCCTCAGGAAACCAGGTAGCACAGAGCGCGTGATACCCACTGGCTTCGGTTTCGATTGGGTGACGTGTCCAAACTACCTCTTCGAAGTGATGGCCTGGGTCGGGGTGTACCTTGTTAGCGGGCTAAACTGGAGTGTCCTACTCTTCCTAGTGGTGGGTGCCGGCACCATGATGAAGTGGGCTAGCCAAAAGGAGAAGCGATACCGCCGTGAATTCGGGGACAAGTACAAGAAAAAGCGCTTTGTTATGCTGCCTGGTATCTGGTAATTTAGGTGCGCTAGCCTTGCCGGTACTTTCTTCCTTCTTCCCCTTGTGAATCCTACTGGCGGATTGTCATTCCCGGCAAGCACCTGCCGTCACTGCTACATCTGTATGGAGGTGCACAATATGTAGTCCGGGATGCACAACTTCCGGCGTTTGTGAAACCCGAAGCCTCTCCACCATTATTACCATGCCACAAGACTATCAAGGGCGTTATCTTAGCCTTAGTCCTTACTTGATCATAACTGCATATCCTAGGACCTAGTCTAGTTGCATAGGACCCAACAAAAAAAACTTGCTATTTTTAGTTTATGAGTTCTATCTGATTCCAAGCTCCGATTTGCCGGGCCGAACCGTCCCCATCGCCCCGTCAGTAACATCCTGTTTACATACCCCTACCTAACAATACCCCAGCCTGGTTCACGACTGCTGGGTCGATCTAGTGACAGGAGATCGACTAGGTGATGACATCGTGTGGTAATGAAATCGAGATCTGCTAGAGTGGATCGATCAGTGCTGGCAAACTTGGATACTAGCCCCTACATTCTGTGGCTAGGGCTTTAAACTAGAGGCTTAGAAGGTTTTTCCCCATAAGCTAGAAGCTACGAAAGGTATTCAGATTTACCAGCACATATCAAAGGAAAACAAGGATTTAACAAGAAAGCATAAGAGACGTCTATCTCATCCAAGGCTACCAGCCTGCGGGCAAACCCCTGAGCATAACCATACTGTTACATCAAAGCAAAAAGAAAAGAAAAGGGAAAAGTGACATAAATTATATGATAAAAAGCCGATCCGACACGGTAAAAATTAGAAATGAAAGGGCGAGGAAAAAAGGGAAGAGGAACGACGTGTTAAATCAAGAAAGATACGCTCATAAATGCAGGTTACCACAGCTGCCTTACCCCCTAAATGTTCCATTTTAGATATCAAACTTGGGCATAAGCCTTCGACCATTTATTCCAGTAAGGTTCCATTTCTTTCTCACAGTTTCGTGCAGGCGTCGTCTCGCATCCGCCTAGACGAACAATGAAATCACCCTCTGTATATAGCCCATTTGAACCGGGCTTCGGAGCTTCATGAGAATAGGCGTTGATAATTTTCTGGGGAATAAGAGCTAGTCTGGCCAGAATGGTCGGGTGCCATTGTACAATATGATCCTAAGGGGAAAGTTAGCTATACCACTCAAAGCATCAGTCACCCTCGAATGAACATGTTACTTACCAGGGCATGGTTTTCTGCCTTTGCAAAGTTATAGCTCCTGTACAGCGGATCAAACCAGGCGTCTAGGAAATAATTCGCCCACTCGCCTCTCCTGATGATAAAGCTCCCTGGGCAGAGGTTCTCTGCATCCTGCGTGATAATCAGGTCAACGTCGTTTCCAGACAGGTGAGTGAAGGTCTTGATGACACTGTCTGGTGGCACAACAGGGGTGTCTTTAATCATGAGGGATTCCAGCTTTGATTTTTCCAGTACGTGTGACGTGAGCGAGATGGTTGGATCCATGATGACGGAATGGGGGGAGAGATGAAAGAAGTATGTGCTGCCGGGATATTTGGTCATGGCATGTCGCATGGCCGGAACGAGGGCCCAGCTCCGAGGCACCACTGCGCCTGAGGGGAGGTTCATAACAGGGACATAGTCTGCGGTGCTAGCAAAGAAGTTGACATATCCTAGTAGAGATTGCGCGTCAGCTCAACCAACATCCTCCGGGCTGATATAACAATAAACGGAATCGGCCAGGTCATCCGCTGCAGGTGACAATGACATACCATGACGCTTCGCGTAATCCTCCCTATTCTGTTTTATCCGCTGTATATACGTGTTGCTAAAGAAGTCCGTGTCAAGAACGGTGACAATAACGACAGGAGGCCCATTCGCAACAGGGGTATCGACTGAAGACGAGCCGGAGGAGAAAAGGTGGAAGATGAGGAAGAGAGCCGAGACGACAATGCAGCCTATAACGGCAAATGACTTCAACTGTCGCCGTCGAAGGACTGTAGGGGACGATCGAGAGTAAATGGGAGGACGAGACGTCTTTCGTGGCGGCAATGCAAATTGCATCTTTAACAGCTGAGAGCGATTCTCCCAGCGCTATCAGTGCCGGGAGACCAACGATATAAATCCTCCGATTCTGTTTCAGCGTTTCATAGCCGGCCCGGTGCGTAGGAAGCAGAAAGCCGTTGAAAAAGCACCCTCCTGGCCTTGTTGTTAGCCTTCTGTAAACACTTTAGATATCAACTTTGAAAGGGCTGAACCTCTTGGCCAGAATATGCGGCTCGGGGAGAGGTTAATCCGGGGTACTTTGAGGTCCATCCAGTGCTGAGACACTGTACATTAGTTTAAAGGACAGATAATGCGGTATGACCTGTCTGTAACTACTTGTCAGATGGATAGATTGATAGATCATCTCGTGTTATACAGGATTTTTGAAAGTGAGGCTCTAATATACAAGCAATGGAAAGTAATAAAACAACCAGGACCTAAACCAACGCTCCGCAAGCAAAACCCATTGAACATATTTGATGCGAGTTCAAATCTAGGCCGGGTTCGTCCTGAGTTCAGGAGCATTCATCTCTCCCATTGATGCAGCAGTCAGCGGTGTAGCCGCCTCGTGGGCCTCCTGCTGCCGTCTCAAATCGTGCTCGGTAGCGGCCTCGATTTTCTCGCTCTCCGAGTGTCGTGCCAGGAATTGCTCAAACGTCTCTGGCTCCTGTAGGCCCAGCTGCTGCCTCTCCAGTGCAAATTTCTCCTTCATTGCCAGCGAGGTCATCACCCTCCACCGTAGTTTCCAGCCAAACATGCCCAATTCCTTTATTCTAGCGGGTTTGTCGCCGAGTAGGTATTCGTCCAGTCCTCCCACTTTATTAATCGTCCTCAAAACGCCATGAGTGACCTTGAGCTCTATCTCTTCATCCAAGGCCTTGCTGTAGATTTTCTCTTTTCGCACATTGGGCTTCCAGATTCTTCGTGTCTTGCCCTTGTTCCGGCCCTTGGAGATCTTGTTTCCGAATATTATTGTAGCGCCGCCGTAGAGCCCGCTGTCCGCCTGCTTGAAGGTGCGTCTGGGACCATAAGGGTATGGGGGGATTTCAGCAGGAAGAGTGGCCGCCCGCTGTGTCGGTAGGGTCGTAGAGAAAGATCGGGTTGCTTGTAGGGAGAGGTTGCTGAAGGAAGCTGTGAGAAGAGAAACGCGAGGGAGCTGTCTGGCGGAGCAAACCGCTGCGTGGAGAGCCATGTTGAGTTATAGCAGTAGCATCGCAGGCCCTACGCCGAGTTCTAAGCCGTCTTCGTCTCCGGGCTTGTCTGTCCGGCCGTGCAATGTCGCCCTGTTCTTCTTCTTCTTCTTGATCTCCGCTGCTTCAAGTTTCTTTCGTTTCGCTTTTTTTCTTCCAGCGACTCCCGGCTTATTCTCTTTTAGGCTTAGCGCGAGAGCTAATCGCATCTCAACTCCAAAAAAGAAAAAAGCAGCTCTTCCAGGCGCAAAACAACGAAGAGAAAACCACGTCTTCTGTCTCTGCTCTGATAAAGACGAGCTGTTCTTCTTACGTTTGCTGTGTATACGCTCGGGAGGTAGAGGTACGCGAGTTTTGGACCGTGCTGGTTTTGCCGATATAAGTTGCTTCATCCACAGCCATGGTGAACATCAGCGAGGTGAAGGGGAGCTCGCGCGAGAACAGGACCGCCGCGCATACTCATATCAAAGGGCTTGGTTTGCGTCCTGATGGCACCGCTGAGGTCTCCGGGAATGGATTCGTTGGCCAGGTCCCTGCAAGAGAGGTATGGATCTCCGCCTTTGGCTAATTGTGCAGGATAAGAGCTTGCTGGCTAACAGTTATGTCACTTCTAGGCATGCGGCGTGATTGTCGATTTAATCAAGAGCAAGAAGATGGCTGGTAGGGCCGTGCTGCTTGCTGGAGGACCGGGAACTGGAAAGACAGCTTTGGCGCTCGCTGTCTCTCAGGAGTTGGGAACAAAGGTTCCTTTCTGTCCCATCGTTGCCAGTGAGATCTTCTCGGCAGAGGTAAAGAAGACAGAAGCGCTGATGGAGAACTTTCGTCGTGCAATCGGTACGTCCCACAATATAGCGGCTGTGATGAGATAACGTTGCTAATACGTTGTAGGACTTCGAGTTCGGGAAACGAAGGAAGTGTACGAAGGCGAAGTTACAGAACTTACCCCAGAAGAGGCGGAGAACCCATTGGGCGGCTATGGTAGAACGATAAGCCACCTGATTATTGGTTTGAAGTCATATAGAGGAACCAAGAAGCTACGACTCGATCCCAGCATATACGAAGCTATCCAGAAGGAACGGGTTACCGTTGGAGATGTGATTTATATTGAAGCGAACACCGGGGCATGCAAGCGTGTCGGGAGATCCGATGCCTATGCAACGGAGTTTGACCTCGAGGCTGAAGAATACGTCCCAATACCCAAAGGCGAGGTTCACAAGAAGAAGGAAATAGTCCAAGATGTGACACTACACGATCTGGATGTCGCGAATGCCAGACCCCAGGGAGGGCAGGATATAATGAGCATGATGGGCCAATTGATGAAGCAGAAGAAGACCGAGATCACTGATAAGCTACGGCAAGAAATAAACAAGGTCGTTAATCGGTACATTGACCAAGGAGTTGCCGAGCTTGTCCCTGGTGTTTTGTTCATTGATGAGGTATGCTCGCCCCTGTCTGTCTGCTTTCCGGCTTTGCTAACTTCTCTGACAGGTCCACATGCTCGATATCGAATGTTTTACTTACCTCAACCGCGCTCTCGAATCATCCATTTCACCAATTGTAATCCTGGCTTCCAACCGTGGTAACACCGTCATCCGCGGCACCGATGACATAGTTGCTGCCCACGGTATTCCCTCCGATCTTCTTGCTCGTCTCCTTATTATCCCAACCCACCCATACAACTCTGAGGAAGTCAAAATTATCATCCGCCTCCGTGCCAAGACAGAAGGCCTCCAAATCACAGATGCCGCCCTTTCCAGCCTTGCAGAGCATGGAAATAAAGTCAGCTTGCGCTATGCTCTGCAGCTGTTAACCCCAGCTAGTATCCTTGCACGGGTCAACGGCAGACCAAATGGTATCGAGGAATCTGATATTGCCGAATGCCAGGACCTGTTTATTGATGCGAAGCGCAGTGCCAGCATTGTGGCTAATGAGACTGGCGCTTTTATCTCTTAAGTTTTCCGTTTCTGGGTTTCCCTCTTGTTTTATCGTGTATGACCATGTATGCAATAGCTGCTCAAAAATCCTCTGCCTGTCCTCATTCGTCTAAAAACCCTGAATAATTAATGAAGTGCCGATACTACGACACTGTTCCGTTTCCAGCTAGGCTTCAATTTACAATACGGCAGTCAAATATCGAGATAGCCCTTGTAGTCTGGGAAAATTAGGTGGCAAGCTTAGCATAATCTACTATTTGGCGATTGTATATAAACTAACTTCAACCCATGGAGGGTACTTTGAAACTGGATAATACCATTAATAACCAGGCTACCTACGGAGTATATGTATTAGGTAGCTGGCTGTATATTCCGTCAACGCCTGCACAAGCACAGATGAATCGTACCGTTACCGCGCACCGAAGACAACCGTACATGCCGGTAGGAGGTCTTTTAGTTTCCTCATATACTGATACAAATAGGCCACTTCATTCAAGAAGCTATAACTCCATAGCTGTACCCTTAGAATCAAGAATCGCCGACATTCAGTTTATGCAGGGGAATCCATGGGAGATGGATGAGTTCCGAGCACGTGAGCGATAATTCGTGCTTACCTAAGATGGTCATATGTCACGTGTATTTAATACACTTGATCTAAATACGGCTAGTAATGCGGAGTAACATCATCCGTTCCATGATGTAATCCAAAAATACACGACTTACCTTGATGCCTTTCAACATCGTCAGCCATCAGCTGCCAGCAACCGACCGACAGCTTGATCAACATTGACCATACCTGCGGCACTCAACAACCCTGCATAGTGTACAGTACCGTCGTTTGGGTCCTTGTTTCACTTATACTGGCTTAGCTTCCCCCGCGATCCCTTATCTGTCAAGTCTGCACTTCTCGTTGCCCTCGAACAACCAGCGCATTCCTTCGCAGCAAGACAATACCCTAGCCGACCGTTATGGCCAATACTCTCGACACAGATGCCGGCTCTGAGCTGTTCAGCAGCTATGAGGCAGAGCTAAAGCTTGTTCAGGCCGATCTCAACCAGAAGCTCGACCAGATTGCTGAAGCTTCCGGGGAGGAGCGGAAGGCGGCTATCAGACAGGCGGAGAGGGCGTTGGAAGAAGCAAACGAACTTGTAAGACACCTACCCTAAGACACCGCATAAATTTCATAGCTTGGCCATATGGTATGTCTTTTGACTGCCTCTTATTACCGTTGCTAATTTAGGCTTCTGTATAGCTTGACCAAATGCGCATGGAGAAGGAAAACATCCCATCATCAACTCGTTCCAAGATAAACTCCCGCTTCAGAAACTACCTCACAGACGTCGACAACACAAAGCGGAAACTACGCTCGCTGTCGGATGACCGTAAAGCTCTATTCGGAGAACGCTATACCGATGATCCAAACAGTACCCATGACCAACATCTAGAGCAGAGACAGCAACTCCTTTCTGGTACAGAGAGGCTAGAGAGAAGCTCTGCCCGTCTACAAGACAGCCAGAGAGTGGCACTATCAACTGAGGAGATTGGACGGGATACCCTTGCCGATTTATACCGTCAACGTGAGACGATCGAGCATACCAGAGCAGGGTTGTTGGAAAGTGAAGGTTACGTTGACCGAAGCGTGAAGACGTTGAGGGGGATGGCTCGTAGGTAGTAACCCCTACATTCCCGGCTTTACAAATCTGAAGACGAAAACATACTGACTCAGGCTTCTCAACTAGGATGGCTACCAATCGGATAATCACTATTGCTATCATCACAGTGCTAGTCTTATTGATTATTGGTGTGATTTATAGCAAGTTCCGCTGAAACGCAAGGACTTCCTGACTTTTCAGCGTTCTCCCCTTTATGGCACCAGCGAACCCCTTTTATGATTGTTTGTACGAATACATTCCCCTAATTTCTTTCATTCCCAACATTTGGAATACGGTCCTGCTTTTCCTCTTTAGATTTCGAGTTGTGCCCAATGTCTTGTCATCAACTACCCCCGTCGTCCAATTGTTAATGTTTTCATTATACTATATTACTCTTATAAATCATATATATTCAAGTATCCTTTTCAATAGTCGCTCAAAATATGTCAGTCAGCAGGAAATTTCTCGATGGCATAATCATACAGTACCGCAGTGAAAGGCCATCAAGAGCCCTTCAACTCAACATCCTCACTGCCCCGAACCCGAAGTTAACTACCACCCCTACAAATACAGCTAGCCCTTTTCTCCAGCTCCATACCCCTTCTTCCCTTAGAAGCCATAAAGCACAGCCCACAGGCCAAAAGAATCCCATGACTGAGCCCCATAACATATCGTCTAGTGCGCGTGAAGTTCCGGATCCAAATGGGCCACTACCACCAGTGCTATCGGTATTCATATCCCCAAATATGTTTGAATCTTCGTTATTTCCTCCTAAGCCAGCAACACCAGCTTCAGTTGAACCTTCATCCATCCATCTATCTTCTAATCTGCGCAGTTCTGTACCGGAGGGTAACGTATCTGGAGTATGCGAGAGGGAAAGCAGGGCCAGAAATTGGGACCGAAGAGATGACACCTCTGCTGGTGTGAATCCAGCAGATAACAATCTATCGAATCCCTGTGGTGCAGGTGTAGGAGTAATATTAGACCCATCACCGCCTGCCGTTGAAGCATCGCCCCCATCTAATGGCCGGCTCGGTCCTGCAGAGCTGTCCAGACCAGCTGAGCCCGCGGAGTCATTGGCAGAGGTGTTCGACTTAAGCGCATCCTGCCCTGAACGAGCAGCACGAGCTTCGGCATCAAGCTCCGCCGGCGTAAGCGTTATATCTCCTATCGAACAATGTATATATATCCTAGGCTCTCCCTGGTCTCGGACCGGAGCTTTCCCTTTTCCTGACGGATCCGGCGCAGTCTGAGATACGGTTGATGACGAGCCCGAAGTGGCATATCCGCCTTTCAGGAAAGGGGACGCTACCCTTGAACCGGGCTCCGAAGGCGAGCCTGACGAAGGTGCTCGTTGGCCATTCCCATGATGGCCACGTAAATGGCTATTCCTCCCAACTTTAATCTGTGTTGCTAGTGAGGTTGAATCATCTAGTGACTTGCCGGCATGAATGAGTCTAAGGCGCCGCGATGTAAGGTCCGGAGGGAGCCTGTCGCGAACTAGACGCTTAAGCCCCGCGACAGTGGTGCTGTTGGGATCGGGTATGTCGAGAAATATATCTGGTATAGAGGCGGAAAATCGTATGGCAAGAAGTAACTCCAGCTCCAGAGGCAGCCGGTTGAAGTCCTCCATCTCCTCTCGTCGGCTGTTCTAGAGATCTGTAATATCTTTGAATCGAAACGTCAGCGTTTGCGGTAAAGGGAAATACTGTCACGTGCGAGCTTCAAGATCTACGTCTATTATTAGAAGCTTTACCATGTTCTTGACAGATGCAGAGTTCTTGATCTTCATGACAGGCTTAGTGAGTTAATGTACTTGTGATTGCTGCCAGTATATAGTTATCGGTATAGATAGCCACTATCAATCATATAATATGCCATGGTGGGCTGTCGAAACATCTCATGCAACTATGGTTTGAGGGTTTGTATACTCGTTATATGAGTGGGTATAACATGCTATTGGAGTGTGATAAGTATCTAGAAATGTACAGAAGGTAATGCAAAAAGTATTGACCCAGCCCAGGCTTTAGATGAATCTTCCGTCACCCAAACGCCAATCCAACGCTGTAATAAAAGAGCAAGCAGCAGAACCAGTAGTATATATAGTGCGAATCCTACAGTCATACCATGAACGATTCACCACAGCCGCATTCATCCTCTATATAACAATACGGTTAGAGTTGCGTTTGTTCTATCTGGGTAACAAGGAGAGATACTTACTGATGTTTGGGTTGTTGAATACGAAGCGGCTGCTCAGTGGGTCTTCGTGCCAGTCCATTTCACTTCCAATTATGCTGAAAAGAGCCTTAGAATCAATCAAGACTTTAACACCGTCCTGTTCAACTACTTCGTCGAAAGGAGCTGGCTTCTCAACGTATTCTAGATGGTATGATAGTCCCGAGCAACCTCTATTCTTCACACCTATCCGGATCAGCTTCGGGTCTGGCTGGGAAACAAGGTCTCGGAGTTTGGATAGCGCAGTTGGTGTGAGTGATACGGCAGCTTTTCTTGCCCGTAGTTTACTCTTTCGCGGCTTCGCTTTCGTCTCCGAAGAAGGGGTGGCTCCGTTCTTGGATACAGGTTGCGACTTCTGGGCTTCGTTTTCTGGCAAGGAATAAGACGATATGGAAGCGTTGCCATCATCTTTAGATGACACCGTGTCCTTCGGTGGTGGATATGTTGGCGTAGTGTTTAGTCCCGGGATTGCATGGGAGATGGATGTGTCTGGGGTTCCCGCATTCCGGGGCGGCGGAACAACGGACTCGGGCAAAGAGTATGGTCGATAAGCGGTTGCCGTCTGAAGTTCACGTTTCGAGGACGAGTATATTGGGCGGGTGGACGAGAATAGTCTGATGCCCCGTGGACATTGTTGCTGTCGTCTGAGCAGAACCCGAAGCGCTGATGATGTCACAGGCTTCACGGATGTATGACACAGAGACATGGTAACTGAAAAAGCGGTGACAGCTAGAGAATCATTAACTAATCGCCTGCACGAACGCTCAGAGGGATGGAAGGCAACTGCTAATAAAATGCTGCTATTGCACGGGGAAAGTAATTGAGCAAGATGTTTGGAAGACGGACTTTTTGTTATCGTTTTCGTCGCTCGAAGATTGCCGTGATTAGTCATCAAATATTGTCGGTAAAAACTCGGACCGGATCACATGATAAAATATTGACCAATAAGAGCTGTGTAATTATCAGCCCTGCGGAAGCTGACTCATCACCCGATCATGCCACTTTTTCAAAAGCGCCGAAAAGGCAAATTGGACTACTAACAAGTAGATAGCGGTAAAAGAGTGTAGTATTAGAGGAACTGCATTGTCATCTTTATCTGGTTTTTGGGGCTCTCTGTGAGCCATCTAAATCTTCCAGTTTTGCGGCTATGGGGTCCAATCGGCGCCCCAGCCAAAACCCTCGTATAAAGGAGAGGATAAGTAGGCTTGGCTAACTAGCCCTGCATTCGGCCCGAAGCTTAGTTAGCGTCTTCAACGATCTATGCTTGACCCCATACCCCATCTAACTTTTCATACCTGAACAAGGATAAAAGGAATGAATAGAATGAATAGAAGAGAGAAATGACAGATGGAAAGAGGTATGGGAGAAGATATTGCAAAGGAAAGGAAACCAGCTACATGCTTAAGCTAAGCCAACCTCCATGGAAAGAGATGTGTGGGAGTTCAACGAATCGAAAGGATGTGATGGGTGCCCCTCCACCACCGGTTTTCGGGTGAAGAAGATGAGCATATCCCTGGTGGCTGGACGGCTCGGGTCGATGGCATAGACTGGGGAAAGGCTGTGCTTTCGTTCGTGATCAACGAACAGGAGCGTATCCAAGAATTCGCGGTGCTGATGGCTGCCCAAGGTATGCTCCGGGTTGACTTCGTTCCAACGCAGAGCGTTCTTTGCGCGCATGTCGTGCACAAACGTTGTTGCACTGTCACCGGCCATATTTTCGCTACCCAGGAAGGTCGTCATGGTGAAATCCACACCGTCACTATGCACACCTTCAAGAGCCGGCTCACCAAGGATATCCGGGCTAGTGACAGTCCGCAGATTGAAGAGTGTGCAGACGAAGTTCTCTGTCTCATAATTCAGCCTCGGCCGCTGCTTGAATGGGACCCCATGGAAGATCAATGCTTTGAATACGAATAGGGCTTGCAGTGTCGAATTGCCCTGGAGATCGTCTTCTACCTCTGCAAATCTCCTGACCTGGCCTGAGTCATGCCTGACAAAATCCTCCTCAGCTGAAAGAATGAAAGGCTGGAATTCAAGACGGCGGACTTTGGATTGCTCAAAATCGAAGCAGAATCGGGCGTTCTTGCTTTTCCGGAAGGGTAGGGTAGGGTCGTCGGGCAAGCTATTGCTAACAGTCTTGATCTTCTCCATGTCTTCATGGGTAGCTCCAAGAAGCTTGAGAATTGGGATCATCCGGTTGCTTTCCACAAAGATGAGTCTCTCCTTGACGAATTGCTCACGCAACCTGATAAGGTCCGCAACGGCTGCGGTCGACTCTGGGCTGACTACAGGTATCGCCATGTTGAATTGAAAATAGGCACTGGCGGCCGTATATAGAAGGATAAGGGCAATTTGCGTAAGAAGTATAGTCAGTGAAGGTAGGTGTCAATTGACTGGCCTTTGACTCCAGGTCTCCAGGATCCTATCATGATTTTATACTTACTCGGTAGCACCGACTCTCAATGCCTTTCCCCAAGCTTGATCGGTACTAACATACAGACCTGCCATGCAATGCAAAGTTGCGAGATGTGCATGTGGCGTGTTCACCGTTGCTCACGGCTCGACCCTCAACCGGGATGTAATCGTTTATACGAGTGACTCCATATAGTTACGCGTTGAAAGGCTGTGATGGAAGGATCATGCACGTTAGTATTCAGCCTTCTTGAGCTTGCTCGTACAATAGTAGTCGGGAGAGAAGCAGTATCGGCTCATTAGCCCCGTAACTTCCCTGTCTGGCTGCATTATATATGTATGTGGCCCGTATCCCACGTCGGGTATGGCCACGGCCGTATCACCATCCAAGACCGAGCAACATTGATAGGCTAACCTGGGCTTAATATGCAAAGAAACCCCACACATACAACTAAGACCAGCCTAGTACTCCGCTCCCAAGCTTAAAGTAACGACATAAAGTTCCTGATTCCCTTAAACACTATTTAAATAGTGAAAATATGAGGGAGCATCAATCTGAAAAATCGCCCACCGATCCCATATCTCTCCATAAGAAGGACGAGAATGGACCTCTCAAGAGAGGACCAACTTGATAGTAGGCTCCCCGCCAACCAATATATCCAGGAGCCTCAGGTCAAACCAGAAAAAATCGGTGGAGAGAGTATAATGGGTAGGGCAGAGAACCCTCTGGAACCTGCAACTTGGCCAGGTGTAAGTCAGCATCCTCCCAGCTTCCTAAGATTGAAGAAGGACTCGCTTACATTACGCGGCAGAGTAAGAAAACCTTCGTGGCGTTCGTCGGTCTTCTAACGCTCTTCAACAGCGTCTTTGATTCCACCATCCCCAGTGGGGGAATTCGGTTCATTGCTGCTGCATTGAACGTGCAGGGAGAATCTCAGCTTGCTCTGCCCACTTCCGTTTTTTTGATCGGATACGTGACCGGACCCCTGGCCTTCGGGCCCATGAGTGAAGTTTATGGCCGACGAGTGGTCATGATTGGGAGCTTTGTGCTCTTTACCATCTTCACACTTGCATGCGCTGTGGCCCCAAGCTGGCTGGCGTTGATCATATTTCGATCACTATGCGGTATCTTCGCATCCACCCCGATTGCAGTCACCGGAGGTATTTTTGCAGACATATACCGCTCTCCTCTGACTCGGGGTCGAGTTATGGCCCTCTCAATGGCGGTAATGATTTGAATCCTTCTCAGCTCCGATTATCCTGCATGTCACTGATTGATCGACTTAGGTCACTGCTGCCGGCCCGCAGTTCGCTCCAGTAATCGCAGGGTTTGTTGCAACTGCGGGATGGAAATGGATTTTTTGGGTGTCACTCATCGTTGCTGTTGCAACTCTGGTTCCAGTTTTGTTTCTCCCGGAAACGTTTCAGCCGGCCCTGATGAAGCAGCCGCAACGGCGTGGTGAGGGAGTCGTCACCAAGGCGCTCGCCCGCCCACTCTACATGCTTTTCTGTGAGCCAATCCTATCCTTCACTTGCCTTTATCTGTCATATGCAAGTGCAATATTCTGTGAGTGTCCACTTTTGCCCTCGTAACTATACAACTTTGACTGATTTTGATGAAGTCATGTACTTCGAAGCGTATCCTCTGATATTTCAGGGGGTCTACGGGATGAGCGATGGCATAGCAGGCTTGGCCTTTCTCCCTAGTACGTGCTGATGCCAAAAATTGAAACAGAGATTGGCTTGCTAACTCTAGTCCATAGTCGCTGTAGGAGCTGGTATCGGCCTGGGAATCTTCTTAGCATATGACTCATTTCTGCAGCGTGCAAAATCAAGAAGAACCAGCTGGTCTTCCATCGAGGAATACCAGCGGCTTCCTCTGGCGTGTCTAGGAGGTCCCTTGTACATGGTTGCCCTATTTTGGCTCGGATGGAGTTCTTCGCCAGATATACACTGGATCGTTCCTATGCTGGCGGGTATACCGTTTGGGATGGGGTTCTTCCTCATATTTGTGGCTCTGATTAATTATCTGATCGATGCCTATCACGAATACGCCGCCAGTGCCATGGCAGCTGCAAGCTGTTGTCGCAGTATCTTTGGAGCCGTGTTGCCACTTGCTGCGGTCCCAATGTTTCGCCAATTGGGTATAGCCTGGGGATGCAGCTTGCTGGGCTTCTTGAGCCTTCTCATGTCCTTGATTCCGTTCGTATTCATCCGATATGGCGATAAAATCCGTTCAAGGAGCAGGTATGGGCATTGAATGTTGCTGAATGTGCCAGGTGCGGGGACGAACGACCCGATATTTTGTTGGATCCCACACTTTGGTTTTTGTGGCTGAATCCTAATCGGCAGCTAACTCGGTGAGTAATTGAGATTAAACCCATGTTCATCGAAATCTTCCTTCTATCTGGCATATGTCACTGGGCCCCGCAGCTTTATAGAATAGAGCATATATCCGTATCATTGTTTATTAATTCACGCATGTAAGAAATATCATATCACATCAAAAATATCTCGAGGACGATAAACATCCGGAGGATTTATCTGCTGAATGCCAAGTCACAGGCATATTTGGCCCCTCCATGGCTAGTCTAAACGACAGGGGCAGGTTCTGCATGCACTAGGCTGGTGTGTCCGAGGACACGCGGGCTAACGGAGGAATTTTGCAGCATTGGAAAGGCTCTTGAGAACCAAGAGCGATAGCCATGAGAGGCTTTCAGTGCAATTCCTGTACAATACTTTATAAAGATTGATATTCCCTAGACCATGCACAAACTAGTGATATCTAGAAAGCATGGGCACCTAGGTATCCTCTCTCGAAGACTGACTCTTGGCAAGTAGAGTATCTCACACTTAATATGGATCAAGTGTAAACTCAGACGATAATAGTCATCGGGTGGCTGCATGCTTTCTAAGTGATATATGGCAAACATCACGCAGTGGAACACATATGTATTGATGGTATCTCCATATTCAGGTTTTAGGGTATATATCTCAGGGAAGTAGCGGGTAGCTCGTAGATAACTGTATGGTTTAAGTGTAAGGAGAGGTCACAACAGCCACGTTTTTGATCGAATCGGAGTCAAACAAAGAATAATGATCAGGAATTCTTGGATTATTTGACCCAAAGCAGTTGGGATCATGAACTGAGGTCTGCAATCCTAGCCTAGATTCGAAATGAAAGCTAGGACATGATATCTGCATAACCATCTCTCCACAAGGCATGGTGTCAATCCCCTCTTATACGCTTAGAAGTTCTAAAAGCACGGTGGCCGAGCCTGGAAAAGACTAAAT